GGGAAACTGTGACTCATTCCGGAGTTTAGATGTAGAGGTATTTCTCATTTACTTATTTCTCAAAACAACAAATAAAAATGCTTACATGGTTGAAGACCTGTGTAAATTCTTTATGTTTTTTTTTTCTTTTTTTTTTAATTTATTTTTTCAAATACATTTGTCTCTGTCTTTGCCTTTTAAATAAGCTCCAAGCATTAACTGCTCAGACTTTCTTGCTGGAGGCTGCTAAGAAAGTGAAGCGCATCAGTGGTAGGTGTGGTTTCTGCCATTGGTTTTCAGACTTTCCTCAGTGTCTCCACAAAGCCTTCTGCTCAGAGAGAGGCAGAGGTCGTCAAAGCCATCCTTCTCACTACAAAATAATAAAAGTGACAGTGGGCACTCAGTCCCCCATCTATTGTGGTCCCTAAGGACCAGCGATGTTCAGGTCTGACCTGAAACCTGCAGTCCTGAAGTCCCGAAAGCTCATAAAGGTTGCTGCTCCCTATTCTGCAGTTCCTTTCCTTTTGTAAGGGTAGACTAGAACATTGGAATCTCTCCGTTGTGATTAGCTTTCTGGCTCTCTCTGTGTAGGGCCTGAAAAGGATTGTTATAATTTTCAGTTTGTGTTTCCCTGTCCTCTGTGATAACTTGGGTCAGAGGTTGAGCCGCAGGCCTCCCGGTGGTATGAAGAGCAATAATCCAATTTCCAGACTGAGCCAAAAACAATAGAAACCACAAAACAGGGCCTGGGCTCAGTGCAGAGCCTCTTTTCATTGGCCAGACTCCTTTCCCTTCAGTGGCCTGTGCACTCATTCATCTTGTTCCACCTGATGGCTGTACTTCTGTGATACTAATATTTGCATATTTGGAAATAGTTTGAGACAATTAAATACTTGAAGCTGTCCAAATGTTTGGACATTACATAGATAAAATAGCTAGGTTGTTAGAAGAAAATTTTACTCTGCATCTAGATATTTTACCATTGTTTGACACATAACCCTGGTCATAAAAATACTAATATTGATTTTAATTCTAAATATTATTACTATTTTTTTTTGCAATATCAGATCTTCGAAAATACTGCAGACTCCAGAATCAGAACATGTGGGTTCAAATGTGGGTGTATTGAGTGACCAAGGACAAATGTATTAGTTGTGAAATGATACATAGCAAAACAATTGTTATTGGCTTGAACAATAAACATTTATTATCTCACACCATGTCTGCGGTTCAAGAATTCAGGAGCCACTGGCTCAGGGTCTCTTATGGGAGCGCAGTCAAGATGTTGGCAGGGGAAGAAGGTATCTGAAGGCTTGCCTTGGGCTGCAAGGTCTTTTTCATTCACACACCAGGCAAATTAGAGCTTGCTGTTTTTAGAAGGTCTCAGTTCCTTGGCATGTTGGGCTCTCTGTAGAAGTGCGTGACTGTCCTGCATGGCAGCTGCCTCCCCCAGACTGAGTGATCAAAGAGAGCGAGGAGGAAGCCCTAATGCCTTTGATGAACCAGTCTCCGATGTCACACATCATCACTTTCACCACATTTTAAGCAAATCATTAAGTTCAACCCACAGTCAAGGGGAGGGAAATGAGACTTCATGTTATAAAGGGAAGAGTTTTGCTTTCTTTTTTTTCTTTTCCTTTTTTCCCCTGATATATCAGTATGATTAGACAGAATATTGTGTGGATAACGTATACCAAGCTGGGTCTGGCAGAGTCCTTGTAATTGGCTGAACCCCCCCCTTTTTTTTATGTTTCCAAGGGCAATTGACAGTTCTTTAAAAGTATCTTGAGTTCATAGTGCTAGGGGAACCCAAGAGTTAAAGATTTTAGTTGTATTTGTAGGTGATAGCCTGAAGCGATTAATGCATGTGGAAAGCTCTTATTCCAAGAACTAGAATACAAGACCTAGTGACTCCAGGAGGTCAACTAGTGATTCAGCCTTTGTGCCCCAGGGGGTCTGCAAGCTGGAGATGGACGTGGGACCTGAGCTGCTGTGTTCCAGGAAGGGACCATCTGCCTGTCCCTGGCGCAGATAAAGAATTGTTGATCAGCAGATAAAGAAATACTAGGAAAATCGCCAGAGGACTGAAGCTCTTATCTGATTAACCTTTTATCTAAACTCCTTACCTACCCATTTTTTCCCCTTATAAGAGGGTAAGATGAGATGTTTAGACGGATATTAGGGTATGTAATAACCCGCTGCCAAATCTGGCATCTGAATAAAGTGCCCATAAAGATTCAATCCTTGTCTCTACTTATTGGTTCTGGTAGTGGGAGGCAGCACGAATGCCAACTTTTCTGGTCTCAGCAACAGGGTCAGACCTGTGGCACTCTGAGTCTTCCCTATTTTAGTTAATGGCTCCACTTTTCACATGATAAACCTCTTTGAGTTTGCTGATTCCTCACATCTGCCATCCAACCCATCAAGTTCTACTGGCTCTACCTTCAAAATACCCCCGTCTCTAACCCATTCTCCTCAGCTCCAGGACAGCACAGGGTCCAGCTCACCCCACGCTCTCATCCATGCTTCCTTTCTTGACCCCACATTAAAGTCTATGCTGGGAAGCCAGAGTGATCTTTTTAAAAAATAAGATTACTCTATTTCCTTTTTCAAAAAATTTGCAGTGGATCTCCAGAAGGTGGGAAGGAAGGAGAGAAGGAAGGAAGGAGAGAAGGAAGGAAGGAAGGAAGGAAGGAAGGAAGGAAGGAAGGGAGGAAGGAAGGAAGGAAGGAAGGAAGGAAGGAAAAGAGAAAAGAAAGAAATCAAACGCTTCCCTCTATAACTTCATCTACGAGACGCCTGATCTGGATCACTCCACCACAGCCTTGGTAGACTTCTTCCTGACCTTTCAGCTCACCATCTTATTTTGACCTCAGGACCTTTGCACTCAAATGTTCTTTTTGAGTCGGAGTTTGAGGACTCCGACTCAAATGTTCTTTGTGTGGCTTACTCTCTTATGTTAGTCAGGTTCTACTCAAATATTGCCTCTTCAGAGAGACCTTCCTCAGAGGCCTATCAGAAAGCCCTCGAAATCCTACCATTTGGATGACACCCCCCATGTGACACCATATTACATATTTATGTGGTTTTCGTTTGCCTCCCTCACTAGACTGTAAGCTGCATGAGAAAAAGGAGTTTATCCTGTTCACTGATATGATGTGCACCCTGGACTCAGAGTCATGCCTTGCGCATAGTGGATACTCAGTAAATATTTATTGACTGAATGAACAAACAAGCAGAGTTATGTATCAATTGATTAATCCAGAAATCACAAGATAGAGGCTAATCTGACCCACAGATATGTTTTGTTTATACAATGTTATCTGATAATTTTTTTAAATATGATTAGTTGACAACTTTTATAAATTGTGGCAGTTCATATAGAAATTTCTGGTTTTGGCTAAATATCAAGAGATTTTTGTATCTGGAGTCCTTTGGCAAAAATCATGTCACGTTTACTAGCAGCTGCTCCTTTTAGACAGGATTTACCCCAGATCCCACCATTCCCTATTATCTTGCTAATACCAATGATTTTCCTATACCTGGCTCCCTGCACTCCTCTATGTTACCTGCCTGGCCCTGCTGGTTTTCAGGACCCTAGAATAAGCATATTTATGATAAGTTTGCCAATATTTATCCAATATATCAGTATAATTTTTCATGTGTATCTTATAAAGGAAATTGGTCCCATACTGGATTTCCAACTTATATTCCTAGTGAGATATACATTTCAAACTCGGTTGCCATTCTAGGTATAGAACAATCACCCAGCTTGACAAACTCCACAAAGAATTTTCACTAATGAAAGAAAGGAAAGACTCAATTGTGTTTCAAAATAGTTTTCACTTTTGGAAGGTTATTTTTTAAAACATTAAAAAAGAAACATAGATTTCAGATATTTTTGTTTATTTTCAAAACCTCATGAACATTTGATCCAGATGTTTACCTAAAATGATTCATTTACCAGTGTGGGGCACACCCAGTTGTGTTAAGAAAGAAATAGCTGAGTTTAACAATAAATGGTTATATAATCTAAAGTCAAATCAAGAGAAATTATTTATATATATAAATAGATACAGCGCAAGAGCTGTATCTATTTCCTCATTGTACACAGTGTCCATACACGTTAGGGGCTTGAATATATACTAAGCATCTGTTACGTGTCAGGAAGTGTATCCAGCAGTTGCAGAATCCATATTCTGACATATATTCTAGAAGTGCCAGTCACAAAACCTAAATAAAACAAGCCAGTAAATATTATAATATAAGCAATAGGAGTAGGTAAGTACTATAGATAAAAAGGAAGGTGGCGTAAGATAAGGGAGGTGGAAAGGCATGACTGGATACTGGTCTTAATAGTGTGAACCAGGTAGGTCATGTTGAAAAAAGAAATTTGAGCAAGATGGGAAGGAGGCAAGGGAATTTGCCTAGTGGCTCTGTGGGGAAAGAACCTTTCAGGATAAGGGAAGATCTAAAGTCCAAAGGCAGGCGTGTGCCTGGTATGTTCAAGAAGCAGCATGCTTAATTACTTGGCTGAGCTACTCAGCAGTCAAGTAAGTTGACTAGGGTAAAGAGTAAGTTCTCCATAGGAGTATTCTTCCTAGCTAAGGAATATTTATTACCTATTTTTAATTAAGCTATATTTTGATTTGGCCGTGACCTGAGCACTGGTGACTCCATAACATTTTAAGAGACATTCTCAGCATTTCAGCTTCAATTTTGTGAGGAGCGCTTAAGCGCGGGCCCCAGTTGGCCCGTGGTAGAGATCCTACCCTAAGCTACTACAGATGCTAACAAAGTCACAATCTGGCTGCATTTTCATTATTCCCAACACACTCTTTTGTTTCGTATATCAAACATGGGTGCTTTTCAAAGGAGTAGTCCATGAGGAAAAGAATAAGAGCTAAAATGTGTTATCTTACTTCTGTGTGTTAATTACCCTCCGCTTGGTAATGCAGTTCGGAGAGTGCCTCGTGAAAAGCCGCCTCATAGAACTTCACCTTCCTGTCTCCCCCATGCAGCTGCTCGCACAGGACTGGCCCTTTGGACCTGAGATATGTAAGCTGGTGCCTTTCATACAGAAGGCCTCCGTGGGAATCACTGTGCTGAGTCTGTGTGCTCTAAGCATTGACAGGTAAGACTGTGTCTTTAAGTCAGATATAGTCTGAACACTTTATTAGTGGTTGCTACGTTACTTAGAAAATAAACTATGTGATTGAACAAAACTAGGTTCTGCCAGCTTGACAAACAATTCTGTTTTGCTCTTCAGATATCGCGCCGTTGCCTCATGGAGTCGAATTAAAGGGATTGGGGTTCCGAAATGGACAGCAGTAGAAATCGTTGTAATTTGGGTGGTCTCTGTGGTTCTGGCTATCCCTGAAGCTGTGGGTTTTGATCTGATCACCACTGACTACAACGGAAATAATCTGCGAGTCTGCTTGCTTCATCCCATTCAGAAAACTGCCTTCATGCAGGTAAAGTTTATTTTCCCCCCCGTTTCTGTTCTTCCCTTATAAATATTTATCTATTTCTCTTCTGATTTCCCCTTCTTGGAACCCATTGATTTATCATGGGCATAAATTGAGAGGGTAGGTCCCAGGACTGAGGGGTTACCAAGTGACTAATGACCTAAGCTGCAGGAAGCTGGGTCCCTACTTCTCCAGGTATGTCCTGGCACCCAGGGATGCAGATAAACCAGGTTCACATGAGAGAATTGATCTGAATGCACAGCTTTCCTACTCAAATCCCCACAAGGACAACTACTACATTTTCTGCACAAGAAAACACAGCAGAGGGAGTAGCTAGTTCAGTGATTGATCGACTAGAAGTTGCCCCCGTATGAGTGGATTCTGAATGGCAAGGTTGTCCTCTCTGCAAAGGAAAAGATGCCATTGCAAAGCAGCTTTCAGCCTGACCATTTATTCAAGGACATTTAATCAGGCGATAGGAAAAGAAGGGCAATGCTTGTCATCAGAAGGTAGATCCCAAGTGTAAAAAGCTCTTTCCAACAGGATGGGCAAAGAGAAGTGAATGCAAAGGGGCTCGTCTAAGGGTCGCCAAGGATTGATTATTTTCCATTCCACACATGAGAAGACTATATAAAACTTTATGAACTATATGTATTATGGTAATCAAAAGAATAAAGAGGGACATTAATGTGAAGTTGAGAATGAAATTGCTTTTCCTTGTTTCTTACTAGCTAAAAGGAAAAAGTACTGCATAGATTACATAAGTGCAGCTGCTACACAGATATATATTTGGAGCAACAATTAAAAAAAAACAAAACACAGAAAAGACATAAGAGAAAATGCATATGTCCTAAGCAACTTTGATTTGGTTAGGACATATACCTCTGATTTGTCCTAAAAATTTATAGTTTAGATTTATACCTCACTGAGCTAACATACTGAGATTAACATAGACCTTTTTTGTATCTGTTTTTTCCATGAAATAAATGTATTAAAAAGTGAAAATTTCCCTTAACCACTACAATGTCTTTACATATGATATTTCATAATAAGAATAGCTTAAGGATAACCAGTTTATGTGAAGACAAAAATATCAGAATTACCAAATATTTTACATGTCTTCTAACTGATTAAGTTTGAAAGCATATTTAGCATATTTATAGCATACTGCTCTTGAGAATTGAAACAACTTTTAGGGAAAATTTGTATTATTTAATTATTTGTTCAGTAGATAGGATCTGAAAGATTCTATATAGTGTTTATAAAATGGATCTATTTTAGAAAATAATTATTCCAGGATAAGTTGTTTTAAATTTAACATTTATCATATAATAGTTTCTTATAGCAGAATATTAATCATAAAATCCTCTCTTCCCCATAGTTTTATAAGACAGCTAAAGATTGGTGGCTCTTCAGTTTCTATTTCTGTTTGCCATTGGCCATCACCGCATTTTTTTATACCCTGATGACCTGTGAAATGTTGAGAAAGAAGAGTGGCATGCAGATTGCTTTAAATGACCATTTAAAGCAGGTAAGAAAATAGAAATATTTACTAACTCATGATTACAATTATGATTATGAATAACAAAGGCACTATGAGGATAAATTAAAATTATTATATGCCAGAACATATCTCTTTTCTCTTGCTTTGATTTCTATATATTATCTATCTAGACATAGTCTATATAACCTAAGGAATCTAGAAAGAGCCATTACTTTTTTAAAAGGTGAATCTCTAGTCATTTTAGTTTTAATTCTCAGTAACTATTCCATGTAAAGCTTAGCGTTCTGAATTTTTATAAATGCCACTGACTTTCTGTACACTGACTATTCTGTGTGGGAAAGGGGACACGTGATTATAATGAGCCATCGTTTCAGTGTCTGCCTATGGTTTTATTTCAGAGACGGGAAGTGGCCAAAACAGTCTTTTGCCTGGTTCTTGTCTTCGCCCTCTGCTGGCTTCCCCTCCACCTGAGCAGGATTTTGAAGCTCACTGTTTATGATCAGAATGATCCCAAAAGATGTGAACTCTTGAGGTAAGAAAAATAAAAGAGATAGCTTTGTAAATAAATGTCATGCAGAAGTTTTCCATTGATTCCTTTTATAGGGAGAAGCAGGGAGTACCACTTTTCTGACCCTTAAGCAATTAAGGATCATAAGCAATTAAGATCCCCACTTTTCCCCTTCGCTCCTATTTTAAAGAAAGGAGTAAAGGGAATTTAGGAGAACACTGGGAATAGCGAGCCAGAGTTGTCCGAAAGATGAGTGGTGTGCTTGAAAATATCAGGTCTGATTCTTCTTTGCTCATGATAAATCTTTTCTTTTTCTTTTTTCTCAGCCAGACACAGCACTTCTAAATAAAATTTTGTTTTAAAGAAGAGAATTGGGCATGGCGTGGGAGGGAGTGTGTGGTATGACAGAGAGAGCGAATGAGAAAGAGAGAGACAGGAGAGAGAGAAATCATTACCAGCAAAAACCAGTAACAAAGTAAAAACCATTGTATATTGGGTTGTTGTTTTTTTTCAAAACACACAAAGGTCTATAAAGAATACATGCTCAGAACAGCATATTTTTCACAGACATGTTTTGGTTTATTTTTTGCAGCTTTTTATTGGTATTAGACTACATTGGCATCAACATGGCCTCCCTGAATTCCTGCATTAATCCAATTGCTCTGTATTTGGTGAGCAAAAGATTCAAAAACTGCTTTAAGGTAAGAGAATCATTCAAAATAAAAAGTATTTTTAATCTGGCATCCAATTTATCCCTTTCAAACTATTAACATTTCTATCTATCCAGAGAATTCTGGTAAATTTACAATTATCCTTTGCATTATACTGTGGATATTTTTAAAATACGACTTTTGCTCACAAATCGCTATAATTGATTCTGTCTATAAATTTTAGTCAACCACTCTTTACTGCTTCAACCACGCAGTTATAGAACACTTATAAAATTAATAAAATTTATAAGCATTGATGTCTGATAGGCATCATATGATGAATAAGAACTAAACATAAATTAAAGTCAGTGACTCTGTTTTGGGTGGATTTTGGACTATGCAGCACAATTTGAATTGTAACTACATTGATCTCTTTTTTCACATGGACATGAGAATGGCAAGTCAAACAAACAAATTTAATTCAGGTCTCATCTCTTTTCCAGCTTCTTAGCAGAGATGTGCTTCTCAATGTGGAATATATTTAGTTATTCCTTATTCAGCTGCTTGCATTGTAACATTCTTACACTCATCCACTCGCTCCTTCAATAATCCTACATTCAAAATTCTATTTCCTCCCCTTCCCTGGGAATGATCCATTTGTCCCTGGAAGTTCATTATTGGAAAGCCAAGGACTTAGCTTCCTTGTAAACTGTAAAGCAGTCTGTAAAATTCTTTGCCCACTCATAAACTCATAGATTTTAAAGCTAGAAGAGAATGTTCGTCAAGATCAACGCCCTCATTTTACAGAACAGAAAATACTGGGCCTCCCATTTCTTACATATAGATTCTCAGAAAACAAACAGAATGGAGGAGTTTTGAATTTTTAAAAATCCAAGGAAAATATGGATAAATAAAAGAGACACATGTACTTTATAACTTTATCGTGTAACAGGCACATGAGAATAGCATGTGGCTGAAAAAACTGACAATGTAATATTAAATTCATTGATATGGAAAGCAGGCTACGCCACTGTCAAGTGAGAGAAAGCAGGCTATGAAGTAGAATGGGTTGTGCAAGTTTATTATGATTAATTATACACATACTTCCACACACAGGCTTATGTACAGTCACATGTATATGTATGTGGTGATATTTCTACTTGCATAGGAAAATGTCTTGATTTACATATTTATAAAATGTTAAGAGTATTTCTCAAGTAGTCGAGGCTAAATATCAAGAATTAAGAGTGGCTTTCTCTTTTAATTTTAATTAAAAATTGAGGCCTTTTAATTATATATATTTTCTCCTCTATGTTCTTCTCATTTAAAAATAATTACCATATGCTATTTATGTGACTATATGTTTTTAAGGGGGAAAATAAGAGAGTATAGACAGAAAGTGGCCCAAGAATTCCCCAACATTCAAAGAAAGCCAGAACCCTGGAGAGTAGGAGGAGTCATGACAATAGAACCGATGTAAATGTGTAACAAGTGACTTTGTTTTGTACAGTCCTGCCTATGCTGCTGGTGCCAGTCATTTGAAGAAAAACAGTCTTTGGAGGAAAAGCAGTCGTGCTTAAAGTTCAAAGCTAACGAGCACGGATATGACAACTTCCGCTCCAGTAATAAATACAGCTCATCTTGAAAGAAGGAATAGTCACTTAATTCCATTTTCTTCATTGTGGACAGAAGTCATTAAAACAATGAGGCATTTGCTAAAAGAAAACAAAATGTGTTTGCACAAAACAATGTAAAGATTTAAGAATAATTGCTGAGTTACACGTGACATTTTTTAAGCTGTGCTCAGATTGAGAAGAAGAGCAGTGACAATTAAGAAAGCTTCGCTGGGAAAGCACTTAGTTTTTGACAGTCAGCACTTCAGTGTAGCTCTTAGTAACTTGCAGTATATTCATACATTACATTTAAATTGAGCTCACTCAGAATTTCTATTAGGTTTATTTTTAAACTAATGTGAATCTGATATCAAGGAAAAATGGGTCCCTATAAAACAGAATTTTTAAATGAAATTTAAATCACTTAACTTAAAATTTTAAAAATCCTATTAAAAATCTCTTATTAATAGTGTCACACCATTGGATACAAAAATGTATAAGCAGTTTAGCTGGTGTACTTTTTCTTTTTTTTTTTTTTTTTTACATTAGAGACATTTAAATGATCAGAAGAGAGTCATCAAATTTTTTGAAAATAATTTAATTTTCTACATTCAGAAAAGATCAAATGCACTGTGGCAGAAGGAGAGAGCAAGTTTTGTATGCTGCCCCAAAAAACTACTTTGAAATCTGTCCCTGAAGTGCCCAGCAAAGGAAATGCTACCTACAATTTTTTTCAGGATTATTAAAGCATTCTTCGTTTAGGATCACCGCTGTAGTAGAAACACTACTTGTTCAATTTTCTCATCTGTAAATACTTCGCCACAACAGCAAATGTGTGGATGACTAAACTGAGGGCAGGCCCCAGGGTTCCAACCTTTGCAATGGAGGGAGGCCGGTACCCCCGCGGCGGACAGAATGTGAGTTGCCTGGAGCAATGTTCACATGGCAAAGGAAAAGGCAGCGCCCCCTCCCGCCCATGCTGCAGTTAAAATGGTTCCTGGCGTATGTATAATAGGATCGTTAAAATACTACTTTTTAAGATCACACTAATTAGGCAATTGTACAGCTACCTGTAAAGCTTATTACTAATTTTTCTATAATTTTTTGTAAGTAACTAACAGAAATAAGTTCTTGACATGGTGCTTTTCTGTCACTTACAGGCAAAACTGTTTTTTGAGATGGTAAGGACCTCTTACTTGGTGCAGCCTTGCCCAATTCCTTTTCCTCCCTAAGCAAATTGCAAAGTGCTTTAAGTTAACTTGGGATGAGATATGTGTGAAAGTACAAGAGAAAACGGAAGAGAGAGGAAACGAGGTGGGGCTGGGAGGAAACCCATGGGGCCAGACTCCCATTCTTAGCCTGACGACGCTCGTCATTGCCCGGTCACATCAGTGCAAAAGTTCCTGATTCTGTTCCAGCAAACACAGTGCACTGTTCTCAGAGTGACTTCAGGGACAAATTGGGCCCAAGATCTTTAACTCACTCTTAAAATATAACAGAGTTTCTGCTTCTTTTCCTTTTGGGAACCCAGGGCCACATGCTGGAAATAAGCTAGCAATGTTGTTTTTTGCAAGCATCTAAAGGAAACCAAAATCCAACAGTGTGGCCAAAATGAAAGGGCAATAGTTAATCCATGTGCCACATGGATTCTATTTATGAATCCCTTCCCCGCCTTGTTTATTAATTTCTTCCCAATCACTGTTTCAGTTGCCTGCGATCACAAGAGTCATTTCAAATTTTGTATTTTAAGCAAAATCCAAAAAAACAATTAATATTTTTGCAGTCATTAATATATTTTTATTTCTATTTAAGTTTTAGCTCCTTTTTACTACCATGTACTAGGTTTTGGTTCCCTCCCTCATTTACGTCCTTATTGTTTCTTCTTCCCCCGTGACAGAATCGAGGTCTGTAATCATTGTGCCAAATTTTGGAAGTGCACTCAGAGTATACCCATGCACTATTTGTCATGAAATTGTGTTCAGAAGCTGTTCTGAAAATGTTTGGTTCACAATTTTAACATACTGATAAAGGTTGATAAGAAACAAATGTGATTTCTTGGCATAATTGAGATCAAGATAAGAAAAGGTACCACTGTTTAACTTTAAAACACATTTCCTAGTATTAAGAACTGTATAATATAGCAACAGACAAAAACAGTGTTAACATGGATGTTAAAATGTAAAATATTTATAAGCAATTTTAGCCTATTTTCTCCTTTATGCATTGCTAATAGGGGTACATGTTCAACACCTTTTAGTATTGACAGCTTACATATGGCTAAAGGAATACAGTTTATAGCAAAACATATGTATGCTGTAGCTAACTTTATAAAATTGTAACGATCATGTAAAATAATTACATATTTTGTTGTTCTGTAGTCACTTAAAGTGGCAACTTCTATACTCATGGATTCCTTACTATGAAAACAAAGTCAATAAAAATTTAAATTGTTTTAAAAAAAAGACCGGCTTGTTTTTCATTGTGCAGGCAATAATTTATTACATGCTAATTGAATAAGTGTTTAAAAGAAATACAAATCTTACAAGTAGACAATATTTATGTTAAACATACAGTTATCAAGAAAATATGAAAGTTTTTAAATTAAATTGCCAAATTTCTGGTCTTTGTGCTGCGTTGTTGTTATATTTCATTTGCTCTGAGGAACCATACAGACATTCAGTTTTCCAAGGTTGATTGCCTGGCTGACAGTTTCCAATGGTCCTTTACATCTGTCTTTCTCTGGTTTCCTACTTTTGGAGCATTTGATTGTTTAATCAGTATTGTTCTATAGGTCAAAGGGGAAAGGCTGAAAGAAGATTTGGAGTTTACACATTTTACTCCACAAGCTTCTTTTAAGTCTTCACGAAGTCCAAGATGGGATAAAACTAACAAAATGCAAGGTTCCTATTTGATATGAGACAAATGACAGCAAAAATAAATACAAGACAAAATGAAATGAGAACTAAGTAACTATATACTGACTACTCTTGAAGTTCACATGTCTGTGTCTCTTACATATTCCCGTTCTTCGCCTGCCGAAAATAATAAAAAAATTACTATTTACTCTTTTCCCATGTAATTGTGTTAAACTCAGTTCCAAAAGTTTCTGTGATTTATCCCTGACCTTTGCTGAACTTCAGCTGCCTACCTAATTTACTCGGCTGGGCACGTGGAGGTACAGTTGTTCTGAACTCGAAGGGTACTTGAGAAGCACAGGTAAGGAAAAAGACAGTATTCAAGTAGTCACCCAAAAGAGCCTACCTTCATTTTAACTGTTACTTGTCAAGTAACAACAATAACAATAGTGCCCACACAATTTATTGTAGTAATGTAGGCAGGAAAGGCGGCAGCCCTGAGACTGAAATGCTTAGAAATCCAAACAATGCAGAGGCTAAGGTCGCGAAGAGTGATGACACTGGACTTCTGGCTCTCAGTCATTAGTCAGCCTCAGAAGTGACAACATTACATTATCAATAGATCAAAAATAAGTATACCCAAATGGGAAAGTCCTACTGGACACTTGCACACTTCCAAGATTCAAGGCTTACTGGAGCACAAGGAATAATCTCATCTCACTAGAAAGACTATTTGGAAAGGAAAAAGCACCCTAAGTCAAAAAATTATGATAGCCTTCATTGTTCTGGCCACATGGTTGACCTCAGGCAAGTCAGTTAACATCTCACAGCCTTAGTTTAATTATCTATAAAATATAAATATAAGTATCCACAGCCCAATTTGTATATCAAATCAACAAATTTTGAGTGGACTTACTGTGTAATTTTAGTGTACTCTCTAAAATATAAGCACACAAAAATGCAGAAGTAATAGTCCCTGACCTCCAGAAACTTGCAATCTAATAGGAGAAGTAGACAAATAAATAAATAGAAGCAGTTAATATGTTATAGGCACCAGAATATCAATACATATGTGGTAAAGATTGGGAGTTTAGGGAAACTAGTCAGAAGAATTGGTACTTGAGTTGAATCTTAAAGGAGGTTTGCCAAGCAGATGAGAAGTTACTGACATTGCTGACAAAATGACTATTTTATGGGAAAACTGACAGGGATGAAACAGCATGGCCAGTTCAGGAAAAATGTTAAGCCCCAGCATGCTCAGGGCGGGGAATGAGAGGGGGGCTGGAGGGGTAGGCCAATCAGGGAGGGCCTTGTGTTCCACGCATTGGGGTTTATCCTTTCCCCTGGCCCGTGTTTCTCAAAGTTCTGAGGACCATATGCCTCTGACTCATCCAGGATGTCTGTTTAGAGTGCAGGTCTCTAACTCTGATCTATATTATTAGAACCCCTCTGGTGAAGCCCAGAAGTATTTAATTTAACCAAGACTTCAGGTTGCTCTTCTGCACCTAAAATTGGGGAAGCCTTATAGTTCAGATATTTGCAAAGCACTGAGTATTTTAAGTAAGGAATAATAGGATAAATTCTTTTTCCATAAGACTGATTTGGAAGCAGCATGGGGCAGGGATTGAGGACTATAACGCAGAAAGCTATGAGACTGGATAAACAGCTACTGCAATTGCCAGATAAAAGAGACAGGGTCTGAGAGAGCAAAGTGTGGGGATGGTGGGAACAGGTCATGTCACAGGCAAAGACAGAGTCAGCTTAACATATGGATCGTATGAGAGGAAAGTTCAAGTAGGAGGCTTCTGGCTGGAGTGACCATTAATCTAGATTAGGAATCAGCCAACTATGGCCAAGGGCCAAATTCTGCCCTGTGGCCTGATTTTGTAAATAAAGTTTTATTAGAATACAGTAGCATGGAATACTTGTTTACATATCAACTACAGTTACCTTTCACTAAGACAGCAAAACTGAGTAGCTATGACAAATACCCTATAGCCCACAACACCTAAAATATTTACCACCTGGCCTTTACAAAAATAACTTGCCAACCCCTGACTTACAAATAATATTAAGGGAAAAGAGAGACAACAATTGAATTTGAGGAGAAAAAATGTTCTGGGGTGTAGTGAATTCTGCTTTGGATATAATGAACTTCAGGTACCATGGGGTATCCACAGAAAAATTTAGAAAACCTATCTGGGTTAATGACAAAAATTTATTTATCATGGTTTAGAGATGCTAATTAAAGAAGAGGATGAATAGAAATGTTCAAGGAGAAGCAGGAGAAGTAGAAGAAAAGGAAAGGAGAGATGGAGGAAAAAATAACAGGAGTCACAAATATATGAGGAGTAGACAGAGCAGAAAAATTGAAAGACTGCAAGGAATGAAGAAGACTGGTATCACAAAGTCAAGAAGTTGATGCAAAAACAAAGGAGGAGACTGAGAATCAGAGTAAAATGCAAATAGAAAAGTGACCTTTGGAACTAGCCATTAGAGAGATGCAAATTAAAACCAAGAGACACCACTTCATGCAGACCAGCATAGCCATCAGTAACAAATCAGCAAACAACAAGTGCTGACGAGGATGCAGAGAAAAGGGAACCCTAGTGCACTGTTGGTGGGAATGCAGACTGGCGCAACCACTGCGGGAAACAGTATGGAATTTCCTCAAAAAACTAAAGGTTGAACTGCCTTTTGATCCAGCAATCCCACTGATGGGATTACAACCTAAGAATCCTGAAACACCAATTCAGAAGAACCTATGCACCTCTATGTCCATAGCAGCATTATTTACAGTAGCCAAGTGCTAGAAACAGCATAAGTGTCCACCAGTAAGTGAGTGGATCAAAACATTTACACAGTGAAATACTAGACAGCAGAAAGAAAGAAGGAACTCCTACTCGTCTCGACAGCATGGACAGAGCTGGACAGTGTTGTGCTGAGTGAAATAGGTCAGGCAGTGAAAGACAAATACCATGTGATCTCACCGATAAGTGGAACCTACTCAACAAAACGAACAAACGAGCAAAATAGAAGCAGAGATATGGAAACAAAGAATGAACTGACAGTGGCCAGAGGGGATGCGGGAGGGGGTTAACGGGGCAGAGAAGGGGAGAGGGCAAGCCAAGTAACGCAAATAGAAGATTCATGGGCACAGACACTGGGGAGAAATTGACTGTGGGAGCGGAGGGGGACAAGGCAGGGGAGAACAGTGGGGGAAACCGTCGGACCGCTGTAACTGAACAACAATAAAAAAAAAGAAATTGCCAGTTCAAAAAATTTCAGAGATCTTATCTAGAGAAATTTTTGTGTATGCATGTGTGTGTGATACGATGACAGTACATCGCTGTTTTCTCATTTCCTATTCACTCATGAATATATATTTTATATATCATATATCATATCACATCAGCAATAAAGGATTAAGCTTTAGTCAAAGAGAAGTGTATTAAAAATATTTTTTCCTCATCCTCTTTCCAAAACTCCAGTAATAACAGGAAAAAAAGGTATAAATCTATAAGGACAGAGCTGATGAAGTAGGCACCAGTGGACTAGAATGTTAATATAATTGTGTGAGATGAAAACCAGATAAATGAGGGACAACTCATTCAGATTTCAGCTTCCTCTGATAAATATCTGCCGAGGAGGCAGTGTGACATGTTTCAAAGCTCAGAAGTTACTCAGGAATTGCAGTTGGCCTTGAAGGAGAAGGCACTGAAGGGAGGCCAAAAATGAAAGAACTGATGAAAAGTCTAAGAGATCAGACTCTAGCATCATGTATGACTCCCGATCATCCCCCGGTGAGCCAAATGACATGTGGCTTATTTCCTGGAGAGGTTGTGACAGATTATCCACGGGTTTAGTCACACAATGAGTACAACTGAAGGTGTAAACGAGGCTTTTTTCTGGAATCAAAAGGATTAAGCAAAGACCTATCTCATGGATAAGCAAGAGCTTCAGCCCTCATCACATAGTATGCACCCAGAAAAGTGACTACTAGCAGCCTGTACAAGTCAGGCAAGGAAAAACCAGCTCAAGGAGCCAAAAAAAAAAAAAAAAAAAAAAAATACAGATACCAATTTGAGGGGAAAGGGTTCTCACCAAAATGGGTTATATGCCCACATACATAGAATTTCAAATTAGGCTCTTAGTGCCACACTTTTCTTTTTTTAAAGATTTTATCTATTTATTTTTAGAGAGAGGGGAAGGGAGGGAGAGAGAAAGAAAAACATCAATGTGAGAAAGAAACATCGATAGGTTGCCTCTTGTGGCATCGGGGACCGAATCCCCAACCCAGGCATGTGCCCTGACCATGAATCAAACTGGTAACCTTTCGCTTTGAGGGGTGACGCCCAACAAACTGAGCCATACAAGCCAGGGCCGAGCTACACTTTTGAATTTGAATGAGAATGTCCAGGGGACATCTTAGGAAACCTGCTGAAGTGACAGACTGAACCTGAAACAAACCAAAAACAGTGGGGAGATGGAGAAAACAGAAAAATCACAGGAAGCTTAATAAAAAATTCATATTAAAACATAAGTAAAATCGATTCTCCCAGAGCAATAAGAAAAAAGAAACAAAAACAGGATGCTCTATGAACAAA